CCCCAGAAGCAAGCTTCTTTTAATTTCTTGGCTGAAGTCCCTATCTCCAGTGATCTTGGAGCCCAGGAAAATAAAAACTGTCACTACCTCCATTTCTTCCCCATCTATTCCCCAGCCAGGAAGTGAGGACCGGATGCCATGATCTTAGTTTTCTTGAAGTTGAGTTTCAAGCCAACTTTTGCACTCCCCTCCTTCACCCACATCAAGAGGCTCTTTAGTTCCTCTTCACTTTCTGCCATTGGAGTGGTATCATCTGGATATCTGAGGTTGTTATTTATTCCAGCAATCTTAATTCCAACTTGTGATTCATCTAGCCCCGCCTTTCTCATGATGTGCTCTGCATATAAGTTAAATAGGCAGGATGACAGTATACAGCCTTGCCGAACTCCTTTCTCAATTTTGAACCAATCAGTGGTTCCGTGTCCAGGTCTCACTGTTGCTTCTTGACCCGCATACAGGTTTCTCAAGAAATGGTCTCGTACTCCCATCTCTTTAAGAACTTGCCACAATGTGTTGTGATCCACGCAATCAAAGGCTTTGGCATAGTCAATGAAGCAGAAGTAGATGTTTTTCTGGAACTCCCTAGCCTTCTCCATGATCCAACGTATGTTGGCAATTTGATCTCTAGTTCCTCTCCCTCTTCGAAATCCTGCCTGTACTTCTGATAGTTCTCGGTCCACATACTGCTGGAGCCTAGCTTGTAGGATTTTGAGCATAACTTTGTTAGCATGTGAAATGAGTGCAATGGTGCGGTAGTTTGAACATTCTTTGGCATTGCCCTTCTTTGGGATCGGAATGTGAAATGATCTTTTCCAATACTGTGGCCAATGTTGAGTTTTCCAAGTTTTCTGGCATATCGAGTGTAGCACTTTTACTGCATCATCTTTTAGGATTTTAAATAGCTCAGTGGAATACTGTCACCTCCATTAGCTTTGTTGTTGCTCAGCCTTCCTAAGACCCATTTGACTTCACATTCCAGGATGTCTGGCTCGAGGTCAGTGATCACTCCATCTTGGTTATCAGGGACGTTAAACTCTTTCTTGCATAGTTCTTCTGTGTAATCTTGCCACCTCTTCTTAATCTCTTCTGCCTCTGTTAGGTCCCTGCCATGTTGGTCCTTTATCATGCCCATCTTTGCCTGAAACGTTTCCTTCATATCTCCAATTTTCTTGAACAGATCTCTAGTCCTCCCTATTCTATTGTCTTCTTCTATTTCTTTGCACTGTTCATTTAAGAAGGCATTCTTATCTCTTCTAGCTATTCTCTGGAATTCTGCATTCAGTTGGGTATATCTTTCTCTTTCTCCCTTGCCTTTCGCTTCCCTTTTTTCCTAAGCTATTTGTAAAGCTTCCTCAGACAGCCATTTTGCTTTCTTGCATTTCTTTTTCTTTGGGATGACTTTAGTCACTACCTCTTGTACAATGTTGCGAACCTTCGTCCATAGTTCTTCAGGCACTCTACCAGATCTAATTCCTTAAATCTATTTGTCACCTCTACTTTATATTCATCAGGGATATGATTTAGGTCATACCTGAGTGGCCTAGTGCTTTCCCTACTTTCTTCAATTTAAGCCTGAATTTTGCAACAAGAAGCTCCTGATCTGAGCCACAGTCAGCTCCTGATCTAGTTTTTACTGACTGTATAGAGCTCCTCCATCTTTGGCTGCAGAGCACATAGTCAATCTGATTTCTGTGTTGACCGTCTGGTGATGTCCATGTGTAGAGTCATCTCTTGGGTTGTTGGAAAAGAGTGTTTGCTATGACCATCGTGTTCTCTTGACAAAATTCTACCAGCCTGTGCCCTGCTTCATTTTACACTCCAAGGCCAAACTTGACTGTTATTCCGGTTATCTTTTGGTTTCCTACTTTAGCATTCCAAGCCCCCATGATGATAAGGACATCGTTTTTGCTGTTAATTCTAGAAGGTTTTGTAAGCCTCCATAGAACTGGTCAACTTCAGCCTCTTCAGCACCAGTGGTTGGGGCATAGACTTGGACTACTGTGATGTTGACTACTCTTTTATTGACTATGAAGGCTACTCCATTTCTTCTGAGGGATTCTTGCCCGCAGTAGTATACCTGATGGTCATCTGAATTAAATTCACCCATTCCTGTCCATTTTAGTTCACTGATTCCTAAGATGTCGATGTTCAGTCTTGTCATCTCGTTTGACCACATCCAGCTTGCCTTGATTCATGGATCTTACATTCCAGGTTCCTATGGAGTATAGTTCTTTGCAGCATCGGGCTCTCCTTTCACCACCAGATACATCTGCAACTTAGCGTCCTTTCGGCTTTGACCCAGTCGCTTCATTCTTTCTGGCGCTCCTAGTACTAGCCCTCTGCTCTTCCCCAGTCACATACTGGACACCTTCCGACCTGAGGGGCTCATTTTCTGGCGTCGTATCTTTTTGCCTTTTGGTGCTGTCCATCGGGTTTTCATGGCAAGGATACTGGAGTGGGTTGCCATTTCCTTCTCCAGTGGATCACGTTTTGTCAGAGCTCTCTGCTATGACCTGTCCATCTTGGGTGGCCCTGCATGGCATAGCTCATAGCTTCATTGAGCTACGCAAGCCCCTTCACCACGACAAGGCAGTGATCCATGAAGGAGAATTCCTGGGCAAAGCCGGCACTTTCTCATTGGGTCTGCTTTGTTCACCCACTACTGCTAGCACGTCAATCAGCTGCAAAGAAGGGAGCTGTGGTCCAGACCATCCAGAGGGCACTGAATTAGCACCAAGATCAACGTAGAGATGGGTGCCATCCCAGCCTGATGCTGACAGTGGCTCCTTTGATTTCCTTCATGTTGCCAAATTCCAAGCATTGTGTGTTCTGCAACTGCCTATTAGAGTTGTCAAAGGCCCCTCCCTACCAGAGAGAAATGAGAAACAATGATAGAGATCAGTGGCTGCCCTTTGCAAGGAAGAAGAGCTGGAAGTGAGGTTGGCCCTGAGCCTCAGAGAGAACTCTGCCAGTCAGACCATATTGGGCTACATGGACCAACAGAAAATTTTATACATGGCACTGGAGTCTCTCTTGTTTTTTTCAGCCACAAGGGAGTGAACTAATGTAAATAGATTTTTGACTGAAACAGCTGCACTGTCACTTTCTTCTCACTCATTTCCTCCCTTATTTGCTTTTATGCAGATGGCCCAGGATTAATTGCATGGTATATGAAAGATCTATTTCCTGATTCATAAAACTAGTACCATGCAGAAGACTCAGTAAGTTGTATGCTGTCCCAGAGGAGCCTATGATAGCATTACATCATTTCCACAAAGACTGAAGCTCGTTTTTACAAAATAGAAAACTGGAGGGGGAACAAGCCCTTCACTCTGCAGTACACTGTATTCTAAACATTCTATCTGCAGTTTCCTAAATAAATCATCTGCATATCAACTGAAAACTGGTAAGAATGTAAATCAGAACATTGGACCATGAACTTACCAGCTTTCTAAACCAGTGCCATGGATATAGGGACGTGTCCTTGGGCCACTTGCATAACTGTCACAATGCACCATGATTTATTTAAGTGATGGTGGGTTGCAGCCTGTACAGGTGGCCATTTTGAGTATGCAATCTGCAGCAGGTGGCTTTTTGTGCTTTGAGAACTCAAGGAGGAGGGTGGTTTACACTGCACTCAATTGCTGTGAACCACCCAGAGTAGTTTGGCTATCAGGTGGCATAGAAATGAAATAAACAATAAGTGAGAGTTAAATGACTTTCCCATTGACCCTAAAATAGTCCATTTATTTTACTCTTGTGTAAGTCACACTTGCTGAGGTCTCTGGCACACACCACAGTCCCCATGGTTTAAATAAGCTATGGTGGACTATGGTGATTATGCATACCCTATCTTTGGTGTTAAGTCCTGGGCACATTCAGATGGAGGGCTCCTTGCACTAGCAGTTAGTAGGTATTGTGCAGCTACTCAGGCTTTTTCTTCTGCATTTCAATTTCTGCATTAAGAAAAACCAAATAGAAGCAGTAAGAACCACCAAAGCAAAAGTCGACGTTTCTTGCAAAGATGTATGAATGAGGCATGCAGATGGCGACCACAGGGACTATGAACCTTTCAGAAGGAATGGGGGGCGGGGAATGAATCTAATCAGAGACGCTCACCTTTAGGCCCAGGGGACTCAATCCTTCTGGAGCTTGCCAGACCACACACTCGTGCCCCCAACCAACCCATTTAGCACGGTTTTTTTAAAAGGTCGAAATGATTCTCTTAAGGCTCCGTTCCGGGCAGTAAAAGCTTTAAACCAAATTATGGTGGTATTTTTGGAACGGTGTTCCTCCTCTTTTGCCTCTTCAGCCTGGCTAAGAGCTGGAAGGCACCCCCAGAGCTTCTCCGCAATGGAGTTCACTCCAGGCTGAAAGAGGCTCTGCTGCCCGGGTCTAAATTACTGATCCGGCTTCAGGGCCGACTTCACGTGTCCTCGTCTAAGCAACGTGTCCAAGCCCCATCCACATGGCAACGCTGCCGCCCTTGAACTAGCAGGAGGAAATCAACGGGTCGAGTTTTGAGATGCAGCGAGAGCAGCAACCTTTCCTTAGCCTGGCGCCCTGCAAAAACGTTGGGCTCCTGGTTGGGAATGATGGGAGGCGTAGTCCAGCGCTCCTGCACGGCGCCAGGTGTGGAGAAGCAAGAGAATCGGCTTAATTCCTGCTCGTCACGCACTAGCGGTTAAACGGGCGAGGGAGTTTGCGTTAGGAAATAAAGACGGCAACCGTACGCCTCTACTCAGAAGCGAGTCCCCTGGAGCTCAGTGGGCCCCGCAGCCATCTAAACCTGCACACAAATACGCCCAGTACGCCAACAGCAAGGTGAAGAAACCCCGGAAGAGACCACGCAGGGAGAGGGAGCGCTCGGCGCCACTCAGGCACTGCCCCTCCTCCTCCTCAGCCCTGCCCGTCTCGCAGGTCCCTCGCAGCGCCGGAAGATCCGGGTCGTGAGGAGGGAGCAGGAAGTCGGGACGTGGCCGCCCAGCGCAGCAGCAGGGGGCGAGGCGGCGGGCGGGCGATGGCGGCTGCAGCGGCGCTGAGCTCCGAGAGGTTGGAGGTCTCCATTGACGGGCTGACCCTGAGCCCGGACTCGGAGGAGGCGCGGCCGGGCCAGGCCGACGCGAGGCCGCTCCCCGCTGCCGGGGGCCGGGGCGGGCGGCCGGGGGCTAGCGCCCAGATGGGGCAGAAGATGGACGAGGCCGGCGGCGAGGCCGGCGGAGACAGCGACGGCGGCGATGGGGGCCTGAGCCTGGAGCGGCGATGGGGCTTTGGCCTGGAGGAGTTGTATGGCCTGGCCTTGCGCTTCTTCAAAGGTGACCGCACCGAAGCCCCTTTTTCCCCCTTCCCTAGGCGGAAAGGTTACTTGAACTTCGCCGGTTCCCTTCTTCTCCCACCATCTCCGATTTAAAAAGGGGAGGTGAGAGAGAGGAGGGCTTGGGAAAGCCCCCCGGCCCGAGTTCCTGAAGCCCACGATGTTCTCTTGCAAAATTTTCTCTGCCGTTAACGATAGTTGTTTACTCAGTTACTAAAAGGAAAGCTGCAAAAAATCGAGTTGAGAGGGCAACCTGCCTCAAATGGTTGTGGTCAAGATCGCTTAGAAATATTGAAAGGATTTGTGGGGAGCGGGTGTTGATTCGTTTTACGCAGGAAACGGCAGTGAATAGAAAACCCTTTAAGGTTTGAATTTTAACTTTTATTTCCAAAGGGTGAGCTGCTATTGCAAGCTTAGTTTCTCTCTGGAGAAGGCCTTTTAAACTGTGTTCTGTATGTTGAGTGTAGAGTACACTCTTGTTTTCAAGGGACGTAACATAGTCTTTTTGGAAAGGTGGTAGTTTGGGTTCTCATAACTTTGGTTTACATAACTTGCTTACTACCCCATCCTCTTCTCAGTTAGATTCTGTTTTCCCTGGAATTATATATACTAAGTGAATCTGAATCTATTGTAAAGCCATACAGATGAGGTTAGAGCTGTCCTTAAGAAGTTAGAGGAAACCACGGGAAGCACTAGATGATAAAATTGAGAATATCAAATATGTACCTAACCTGATGAAAAAAGACTTGCTTATTGATTGTTCGCTTAATTTAGTTCTAACGGCAGTATTTTGGATAACTTCATGGTATAGCACTCAGGATTATTGGGTGAAACAAGCATTCTTCTATGAAGGAGACCAAAGTTGCTGTGATGCTATTAATAAAAATGCTAATGCCAATTTTTCAGACCTTATTTATCAGGTGGTGCCCCATCAGTTTGCAGGGTGTTTCCTGTACCCATGAGAGACAGTCTTGCTGTGTGGTAAAGATACACAGTAAGATACTACCTTCATTGTTCATGTGATAGAAGGAGAAAATCCACTTTTTGTGTCATTCACGTACTTCCAGCTCATGTTTTAAATGTAAAATAGACCCCAAACTGCTTGCAACATTGAAATTAAATGCAACATGAAAAAAGCATAGGAACAAAATCAAGAGCAGCAAATTATAGTTATTAGACCTATTTTTGCTACGAAAATACCAGTTGCAGGCACAGCACAGCAGTTACTTCTGCAGTATTGCTGTTCCTGGATTTTCTCTTGGTGATATTTTGTTGTGGTGTCCGCATGACTTGGCTTCACAGGCTGTATGCTTAATAAAATGCATCTGTAACTTGTAAAAGCAGCCTAAGAAATTGCCCTTACAGAGGAGTTAGGATCAAATCTTGTAACTGAGTGATCTGCAAAATCTTTTTAAAGAAGTTGCTGGTTTGCAATATCTTTCAAAGAGAAATCCAAAACAAAAGAGATCTGTTGATCTGTATTAGTAGTATGCCCAAGAGATGTGAACTTGCAACTTCAAGAAGACTATCCTGTTCATCTTTACTTGGAAGTAAGTCTAACAGATTAGATTAGTAAGGCTTATTATCAGGTTATTGTTCTGAACAGAGTATGTGCTATTTTTCTGAGGGCATTTTCTTCTGTAATAACCTAATTCTAAAGTGATGTGCTTATTTAATCTTTAATAAAAGAACATTCAGCAGATGGTTAGATCCAGGGGACTGATCCTGATCTGAGCATTTTGTGGCCTTGTGCAGATATAGTAATGTTTAATATTTCCTGTACAAGCATAATAAATTCAGGTATGTTATCTTATAATGAATGAGTCTGCATCTTACTGAAATAGACTATTGCCTCTGAAATGTCAATCTACATTAAGGGCACACAAGTTTAGATAGGGAAAAAAATCTACAATCCCCAGCATTTTCCAGTCAGTTGTAAGACTTGAAATATATCAGAATATATCAACACTTGGTTGCTTCTATATAAATCAACATGAATCCTTTTTGGATTGAGTATGTCATTTGAAAACAACGTAATCCAGACTTACTCATTTTTCTCCAAAGATGCCTTACTTTACAATGTATGGGTAGACTTCAGCTACTTTCCCACTTCTAGAGGTGGAATCCAATTAACCTACTTCTTCCACTGGAAGGAAGAATGTAATTTCCAATTATTTCTGTTCACTTCTGCAGTCCCTAAGCCATCCCCAAATCTTGAGGGGTCCTCTGGAGCAAATTTTGGAGAGTTACAGAGGGAGGAGGGAAATAGCTGGATATTATGCCCTTCCCCATGCCACTGACAACCTTGTTGGTGGAGGGAAACTAGCTGGATTCTACCCAAGGTTAGGAGTTTGGAGCTGGATAGTTAAACATTCTTGAAAAATCTTCACCATTGAAATAATGTTATTTTAACATGTTATCGATATAACTTGTTATATATGTAAAAACTTTTTTACTTTTTTAAATAATGGGGTATATTCAATTGACACTTCTCATCCCATTTCGAGATTGAGCCTAAGTTTTATATAAAGTGTGTTACCAAAGGCATTTTCATTGGCTTGGTGGTAAAACCCATTCTTTGCACAGCTAAAGTCTAACAGTTTCTAGTATATCCACTTCAATGATTTCCAATATCAGGACTGGGAAAGGTAAAGTGGGTGGAAACAATGCTGCTATTTTCCTCCTAGAAGCTCTTTGGGGCATATTCTTACTTAGTATGACCTAGTTCCTAAAAATACCAAGTTATGTCAAAAAAGCTTCATGAGAAATTTTTCTTAATATTTCCTCTACTAAAACAGCAAACTAAAGATAACCCTGAACAAGCATACTAGATCAGTATGAGGCTTTAACATAGAAGCCAGCTTCATTGTAAGTGCGCTTACAATAAACATATGATGCATGGTTATTGTACATTAAACAAACTAGAATTTCTACATAACGTATATTGTAGTGCTGAGTGTCCCTTGGATACCCCATTGTGTTAAGGGAAAAGTCTACAAAATTAGGCTTGTGGTATTTGAGGTTTTATTATTATCTTGTATCCCCTCCAGTTTTGCAAAATCTAGACAATTTTTAAGATGTAGTTAACCTTTTCTTCAGTGGGCTATGCCTAGAGCATTTGTGATTCACAAGCTTTCTGGGCTTGCCATATTTAACATATGAACCCTTCTCAGTGTTTTATATTTTAAAAAGTTAAAAACTAAGGCAAATATATGAGCAGTCATGTCTGAAAGTAAAATTCATTCCAATAAAAATAATTCGATAAAAAAACTTGTTGAAATTTGTTAGATTATAACTTATATAAACAGTGCAATTGTATGCCTGCCTATACGAAAGTAAGTCCTATTGAATTCAGTATGCCTCTCCCACAGGTAGGTGGGTGTAGGATTATGGCTAGGGAGCAATCCTTTGAGCCCCCAGACAGTGTTTGAGGGGGCCATAAGATAATTTGGATTCTCAGTTCTGAGACTGAAGAGACAGTGCAACCTCAGAGTCCAGAACTGGAGCTCCATCCCCCCCCCCCCACTTCTTTGCAGCTGGTATAGAAAGAGCAACACCAAGTGTTCTCCAAGGTCAGGAAAGCAATCTTGGAGGAAGAGGAGAAAGGGGCATTGTGGGAGCTGGGAGGTGAGGCCAGAATACGAGCTATTCTGAGCTTCTTGCCTCACCCTCCGAGGTGCTCCTGCTACGGGGGCAAAGAAGCACATCTAGCAGAAAATGAAGGACAAGAAGCAAAGATTGCCTCTCCTTCCTTCACCAAGTACATTTTAATTTTCTGTTCAAATATTCTACTTTCTACTAGAAAAACCTTTATAAAATGTACATAGTACACATCATTAGCATGTATTTTTTGTTACTAAATATTACTCAGAATATTCTAAATTGGGTCCTAATCCATTCTAGGACACCTGAACATTTTCCAGTTAGAAAATTTTTAGAAAATTACCTGGCAAAACAGCGTCTCCCTTATTTTTCTGCATTCAGCTCTGCATTATAATATTGGACTTGTTGCAGGGGAGCTTGAAGGGGCTCATGAGCATTAATGAATTTGGACAAGACAGAGCAAGCTGTAACCTAGAAGCCCTTTCTGAGAGACTCAGAATGATGCCATTTGCAAGTGCTCTTGTTTATCTTAAGAGTAAGTCCTTGAGTGTCTCATCCTCCTGCATTGCATTAACTTTATCTGTTCCCAGTGAAAGTCTTCCTTTCTTAATTGATTCTGTATTTTGTTTTCTTCCTCCTTCAGGCATTTTCTTAGTAAAAGCAGACTTGAGCCTCTTGGTCTTTGGAAAGCTTGTTCACAGAGGCAGGATTTCAACCTGCACTTTGTAGATGTGTACATTCTGGCAATGGCATTCTATTCTGAAAAATAAAGCTTTGACTGCTTAGATGACAAGGGAATTCAATTGCAGGGGGAGGGGGGCACATGTGGCCTGTTCCTTAAGTCACTTGTTTCATTTTCTTGCATTTTTCTTAGCATCTTGTGAAAAGCCCATTGAGCAGATGGTCTGACTTTTCCACAGTGCAGTCTAATCTACTGCTTGCTGGACTATTAAATAAAACTCTTCAGTTAAAGTTTGGAAGCTGTGTCAATAAGAAACTAACATTGCATATTAGTTTGGGAGCTGTGTCAATAGGAAACTAACACTGCATATGTAATATGGTATTTACTAATACAAATTTTGGTGACATTAGTGTTTTTATCATTTTAGTAACAGAGAAGACTGTCCTGACATATGTCCTAGAATGAATTGCCTTAATTAGGTCATGCAGTCTAATGCATGTTAACAAGTCCTCTGCTAAACTGTGTATAAACAATTGTTTTTCAGTGACCTGGAGACTGTGTTGTAGAATTGGTTGCCTCTAGTGTATGCATTCTTCCCCCAGAGTTCTTGTTGTTTGTATTATATTCTAGAAAAGCCAAAACTCTGTCTCTCGAGAAGCTGGTCCAGTATTGCTGGTGGATAGAGGGCCATCTAAGCAAGGACAGGCCTACCATACAACTCCTTGAGAAATATCTATATATTAACTTTGCTGATGCAATGCAGCAGTTTCAGCTGGAAGCTGTAAGTGACCACAAGGTGTTCCATCAGTTTCTGTAGATACTCTCTTATAGTAACCAGCTTGTGCATACCGGTCTGGAGTTCTTTGCAGTCTTTCACTTGTTTAGTTTGATACTGTTATTAAGAATGCCTGATACAATTCTTAATCACTGTCTGAGTTGATGCACTGTCTCAAAATAAGCCCCTCACTTTTATCTTACATTTAATCCTGTGCCAAAGTAAACAAATGTGAGGTGTGGAACATGACTAATGAATGAAGGAGCTATCATTTTGGGGTAAATGTATCTGATGTGAGTACAACAAAATAAGAACCTAAGAAAAACCATGCTAGATCAGACCACTTGTTCATCCATTCTAGTTCTCCATATGCATCTCCACCTGTCCAAGCTCCTCAGTAACTGGTGTATGTAGACATGCCACCTCTGGTAAAGGAGGTACTGCATAGCCACCTGATAACTTCTTCCACCCTGAATTTGTCCAATCCCCCTTTAAAGCCATCTAAATTGGTAGCCATCACCACTTCCTGTAGTAGTGAATTCTGTAGTTTACCTATATGCTGTGTGAAGAAGTACTACTTCTTATCTGGTTTCTAGTATTATGGGAGAGGGAGAAAAGTTTGCCTTCCATTTTCTCCACACCATACATAATTGTAAGCCCCTCCATCTTATCTCCCCCTTCTCTCCTTTTCTCTAAGCTCAAAAGTCCCAGTTGTGGCTGTCCTTCATAGGAGAGTTGTCCCAGCCCATTAATCATTTTTGTTGCCTTTCTCTGTAGTTTTCCCAACTCAATATTGTCCTTTTTCAGGTAAGGTGACCAAAACTGTACATAAGATTCTAAGTATAGTTACACCAAAGATTTGTATAAGGGGAGTACAATTGTGGCAGTTTCATTTTCTGTTCTGTTCCTAATTTTACCTAGCTTGTAGTTTGCCTCTTTCACAGCAGCTGTGCACTGGATTGGCATTTTCATTGAGCTGTTCACATCACCCCAAGTTCCCTGTCTTATTTAGTCACTGCTAGCTTAGATCCCATTGGCGATACTTGAAGTTGGGATTTTTTCACCCCAATATAGATGGGTCATCAAATGGCAATATAAGTTCAATATTCCTGCAACAGCTGAGGCTTAACCAAAAGAATTGGTGTGTTTGGTAGTATTTGTACTGATTAGTAAAGCTGCTCAGTGCTGGGGGTAATACAAAGTAGCAGCAGCAAGGAAGAACATGAAAATTCTTGAGCTGCTGGCTTTATTTTGAGAACAACTTGGACCTCACATGCCCAGTGCAAACATATCTTGGGCATCCAAGTAGAGCCACTAGGAACAATGTTAAACATGTTTGTATTGCAAAGTGAATAGAAATCTTCTATGTTTCCTGGCTAGAAGATAGCACTTATGCTACAGCAAATGCCAGTTTTTAATGCCTTAACAGATCTACATGAGTTTGCTCCTGCAATAATAATGACTGCTTTATGCCAGATTTCCCTAACCCTGATGCCCTCCAGATGTTTTGACATTCAGCTCCCATTAGCCCCAGTCAGCATGACAAATGGTTGTAAATGCTAGTACTTGTAGTCCATAACATCTGGAGGGCACCAGGATGAGAGTAGCTGCTTAATAATCTTCCACAAGAAAATATGGGATATCCATTTGTGCCAGGACTCCATGTTTCATGAAGCCACCTTTTTTACAGACATTAGCCTCTCCCATTCTCCATGTACTTTGCCAGTTTACTAGGCATGCTTTGTAATATTTGTGTTAGTTTCAGTGACTCACCAAAACCAAACTCTTCTTTTCTTACAGTTGTACTAGATCAGCTTCTATTTCATAGTTGCCCCTGGATCAGGGTCTAACATGCTTGTATTGAATTACAAAGAGATCTTATTTCTGGCATAATGTTAGCCCAGTTGTGCTTGGTGCTAACCATGCTAACTTGGAGTGAACCTCTTTGCACCTTTTTGTTTTGTGGAACACTTGGGGCACATCTAAGGTGGCTGCCCATAACCTTCTGGATTTGGAGGATTATGGGCATCCTGACGTGTGTGCAAGGAGTGGGGCGGCAAAGAGTTCATCCATCTGTGTCTGTTGCCCCGTTTTCAAAGAGGAAGGGCTGAAGCACCACTGGGATTCTTTGTATCCTGGCAGAGCCTCACTCTTCCCCATCACACTCCTGGAACACCACCCCATTTCTGCTGGCTTTGAAGTCACAGTTGTGACCTGGGAACCGCAGCTGATGCAGAAAGAACTGCACAGGCTGCCAGGTCAGAAGGAGGGCACTCCATGGTCAGAGTCCCAGCTCCAACTTGTAGCACAGGGACTCCAGCCTATCCTGTGGCCACCTGAAAGCATATAACAGCCATAGGATTGTGCTCTTAAACTTTTAATGGTTTACCTTACTCTTGTGTCAGACATTAGAAAAGCAGGTTAAAAATTGTGAAATGGATCATTCTGTATTATTGATTTGCTGTGTGGTTTTTAATAAAGCCCTTTCAGTCCTTTCCACCCCAGCTTCTCTGCAACTCACTTATCAGTCATATCTGTGAATAATTCATTAAGCTGTCTTTAATAATTGAAAGTAAAAACCACTTCTTTGTTTGCTTCACTAACATTTGGGATGGTTGTATTATTTCAGTCGCATTTGAGAATGTATATATAAAATAACAAGAATAAATATCTTCTGGGCAAGCCTGTATCCTGGTTGAATAGTCAGAAATAGGATTTGTATACTGGAAATTGTAAAGGAACCGGCAGAGGTCTATATGGAGAAGAAAAAGCCCAGCATCTAGACAGCCTAGTGTTTATAGCATTGTTTAAGTCCATTTATATCCCATCCTTTCTCTTAGGGTTTCAGGGTAGTATACATCCTTCTCTCGCCACTCCTTTTATCTTTCTAACAGCCCGTGAGGTAAATTAGGCTGAGAGATTTTGACTGGCCCAAGCTTCATGGCTGAGTGAATACTTGAATCCAGGTCTCCCTGGCCCTTATCTAGCCATGGCAACATATTGGTTGCCGTTTTTTGTTTTGGTATGTGTTAAAGAACAGTTCTCTTTCACACAAATGGAATAAGGCAAGGGCTTTTGTTCTATAGATTGCAATTGTGGAAAGCTTTTTTTCAATCTTTCCAACTGAGTTCAGTGAGACTCAACAGAAAAATATGTAAAGGTGTGGGTTTCAGCCTTATATTTACATTTTCTATATGTTTACTTTGAAGTAAGTTCCAGTGAGTTCAGTGTCACTTATTCCTAGAAGTGAGTGTGTGTATGACTGAAGCCTGAGTTTATAGTATGCAGCAAAATAATATACTGGCAGTGAACAAGAGGAATATTTGATTCACTAGTGTTGTAAGTCATATGTACTGCTCCCTTCCCCTAAGTTGATTAGTACCCTGGCATTCCTGTGCATGACAATTATCACTGTGATAATGCAGGAAGAGATGGAGTTCCATAACTCTTTTGAATGCAGAATTGATGGGAAAGTACAAGGATTTTGATCATACATGTTTTTAAAATCATATTGTTTATCTTCTTCAGAAAAAGATGGCAAAGCATTTCATCCAACTTATGAAGAAAAGCTCAGACTTGTAGCACTGCATAAGCAGGTTCTGCTGGGACCTTACAATCCAGACACTTGTCCTGAAGTTGGGTTCTTTGACGTTCTGGGAAATGACAGAAGGTAATTTTGATGTTTTCCATCAATTACAAAGATTATCTGGTTGTCATATAATGCCAGTTCATGGGTTGCCCAACAGCTTGGCAGCTTCCTGAGCAAAAGGCACAGGCTTGCTAAAAGACAAACAACCAAGATTTTAACCCTAAACGGTTGAGAGTGCCAGGTGCAAGCATCACATCAAACAGCCCAAGGACAGGGTGTTCCTGTGTTCTTGACTACAGCTGATCCAGAACAGAAGTAGCAATCATGTGGGAGTTGGTGTGCTCAGTCCCTCACTTACAGTCCTGACAGATCATGGCTTGTTTAAACCATGGGTTGTCATAATGTGTGACCTGGGTCATAGACTAATTAAGCAGGCTAGGAATGGTAAGGAACTTCAGACATGGGGTTCCAGCTGGGTTCAAGTGGCCCTCCAGTGGTCTCCATATGGCCTCCATAGTATCTGTCTCTTTTAACCACAGATACTTTGGTGGCTTACAAGTTGTGTACCCCGCCCCCCACTTCTGACATATAGAAATGCTGATTCTAGGGCTTTGTAACTGGTGACAGCAGTTCCAAGCTACCACACGATTGGTATGTTTATTTTTGGTCATACTGCGGTTGTGTTTGCCCCTACCCATCACTGAAGTGTACTCTGCTGAGAGCTTCTCTGAAATTTAATTCAGTCCTCAGACTGAAGGAGGTTCTCTGCACCTTGTGTGTGACTATAATAGTAGTGATATAGCAATATCTCATGATGCAGCACTTGGGTGACATTTGTAAAAAGAGCATTTCTGGACCTCCATGTATTTTATGAAAAGCATAGCCTTCTGTTTGTTTTGGCAGAAAAAGAGAGGTTAAATTTTGTTTTGTGGTTGAAATGAACAGTTAAAAACTGGTCGAATTTGACATGGGATTTTATTTGCCTTTTATACATTACAACAACAAGAAGCAAACAATCAGTAGCCAGTTAATTGCTTTCTAGAATTCTCAGGTAGAGGTCCGTGTGTCACTGCAGAAATCATTAAAGGAAGTTTGTATCTTTTGTAGAGTTCTTAGTAACCCTGCTGAGTTTTGGTACAAAACTGCAATCATGTCCTGTGCTTTCAGTGTTCATCCCAGTGACTAAGCTAGGTAGAAATTCCTTGGCCTTGAAATACTGGACTGTCATATTTATTTATTTATTGATTTAAAATATTTATATGCTGTCCTGTCGCGAAAGCCTCAAGATGGCTTACATAAATGAAATAACATAAAATATAACATGAATAAATTACCGAACCACACTGGCTGCAGTTAAAAACATATAGGAGACAATATTAAAACTTATTAAAATATTGCTGAAATAAAAAGGTCTTAACCTGGCACCGAAAAACAAATAACAACGGCGCCAGGCGGACCTCTCTGGGGAGCGCATTCCATAGGCAGGCCACCACCACAGAGAAAGCCCTCCTCCGGGTACTTTGCCTCCTAATATCTTTCACGGAGGGTTCCAGGAGGAGGGCTTCTGCTTATCTCAGCGGGTGGGAGGGCAGATATGGAAGAAGGCATTCCATTAGGTATCCAGGTCCCAAGCCGTCAAGGGCTTTATAGGTAGTAACCAGCACCTTGAATTGAGCCCGGACTTGGATGGGAAGCCAATGGAGCTGATAGAGGACTGGGGCTATATGAGAATAACGCCCAGTCCCCGTCACTGACTGCACTATTTTGCACCATCCGGACTGTCTTCAAGGGCAGCCCCACATAGAGTGCGTTGCAGAAATTCAACTGGGAAGTAACCAGTGCATTTGTCACTGTCACTAGGCAATCTTCCTCCAGGTAGGGACACAGCTGATGGATTAGCCGAAACTGAAGGAAAGCGCTTCTCGCCACTGCAGTCACTTGAGCTTCCAAGGACAGCTTTGGGTCGAGGAGCACTCCCAAGCTATGAACACTGTCCTTTAGAGGGAGTGCAACCCCATCCAGGGCAAGGTCCAAGTCACCTACCCAGGAGCTCGATCCACCCACCAACAGGACCTCCATTTTGTCTGGATTAAGTTTCAGTTCATTGGCCCTCATCCAGCCCATTACCTTGGCCAGGCACCAGTTCAGTACAGCCACTGCCTCACCTGGATCAGTCAAAAAAAGAGAGAGGTAGAGCTGGGTGTCATCAGCATACTGATGATTCCACAGCCCAAACCTCCTGATGACCTCTCCCAGCGGTTTCATGTAGATATTAAATAGCAAGGGGGACAAAATGGAACCCTGTGGTACTTCATGGCATAACTGCCATGGCACAGAGCCAAAGTCCCCCAGCACCACCTTCTGGATTCGGCTGTCGAGGTAGGAGCGGAACCACTGCCAAGCAGTGCCTCCTACTCCCAGTCCCGCCAGCCTATCCAGAAGGATACCATGGTCGATGGTATTGAAAGCTGCTGAGAGGTCCAGAAGGACCAACAGGGACGCACTCCCCCTGACTCTCTCCCTGCACAGGTGGTCATACAGGGTGACCAAGGCAGATTCAGTACCATACCTGGGTCTGAAGTCGGACTGAAATGGGTGCAGATAATCAGTTTCATCCAAGAGTGCTTGGAGTTGTCCCGCCACCACCCATTCTAACACCTTTCCCAAAAACAAGATGTTGGCCACCAGTCTATAATTGGCGGCCATCTCTGGATCCAGGGACGCCTTCTTTAGGACAGGCCTGATTACTGCCTCCTTTAAAGGAGTGGGCACCCGGCCGTCCCGCAGAGAGACATTAATGACCTCCAGGATCCAGGAACCAATCCTGTGTTTGGCTGTGGTCAGCAGCCATGACAGGCAAGGGTCAAGTAAGCAGGTGGTGGGACGTACTTGTCCAAGCACCTTGTCCACATCATCAGGTCTCAATAACTGAAATTCATCCATTAATACCTGACCAGACGGAGTCATTGGCATCTCCCCTAAAGGATCTGAATCACTTGTAGAGTCCAGCTCAAGACAAATCTGAGCGAATTTCTCCTTAAAGTGCTGGGCAAAGTCGTCACAGCAGGCCATCAAAGGTGGTACAGGATCTTTCTTAGGGCCACGATGTATCAGCCCATGTACCACTCAAAAGAGCTCCGCTGGACGGCACTGTGAGGAGGCAATGGAAGTGGAGGAGAATGTCTTCTTCACCGCCCTCACCGCCACAGCATAGGCCCGATAATGGGCTCTTAAGTGTGTTCGGTCAGATTCATCCCGTGATCTCCTCCACCTGTGCTCTAGTCATCTCCCAACCTGCTTCATCGCCCGTAATTCAGATGTGTACTATGGGGATGGGGTCAGGAATCCATCCGGATCCATCCGGCTCCGAGGGCGGACCAACACAATAGGGTCTGCACCCTTACAGAGGGAAAGGCCAGCATCGAGCTCAAAACCTCATGAGGAAGTGATCTGACCATGACAAGGGAGTCAGACACAAATTCCTCACCCTCAGATCACCCTCTATTATCCCCATACTAGGTAAAGCAAAAGTTTCATTCTGTCTTTATATGCACAGTTTGTTAGACAAAATGTTCTTTCATGTCTCTTTCCTTCTTGCAGGAAAGAATGGGCTGCCCTTGGAAACATGACAAAACAAGATGCCATGACAGAGTTTGTAAAGCTCCTGAACAGGTGCTGTCATGTCTTCTCAACATATGTTACCTCCCATAAAATAGAGAAAGAAGAACAGGAAAAGAAAAGGCAAGTTCTCTTGCATTGCTGTCTTGTCTTATGAGGCATTAGTTCTTAAACCATTGAAACAATCTTGTTTTAAGACTGTTCTAGTGCAGTTCTTCCTACCTTTAGAAACATTTGGCTTGAAAATATTGGTGTTTTTGGAAAAAAGTGAGGAATATTGGCAACATTTTAAATGGCACCAAAATATCTTGTTACCATTGGGCATGAATCTTAACCAAATGTTAAGTATATGCAGTTTAAAATACATGTTTTTAGCCCAGGCCTATTTGTCTTCTACAGTTCTAGGAGCATACTGACTTATAAGCTCAGTATCTGCCAAAGATTTTTGATTCCTATTGAAAAATTGAGCTTGTGCTTGCACTGTGTCTGCTTCGTCTCAGTCACATTTCTGTGCTTACAGACTGGTAGCACTTCAGTTAGCATTCCATACTGTACAGAAAACTACTGAAGTTTGATGAACACATGCATATAAAGCTGACATGCAGAATTTTCCTAGTTTTCTTATTACACATTTTGGGTCATTTTGGTGAAGAGTATGGAATAGTTTTGAATTTATAGTAATAATTCTGTATACAATGTTGAACCTGAGCAAAGATCTCTTAAATCTTACTATGTACTACCTTAAAGCAGAATCCCACCCATGTCTATGCAGGCATTAATCTGACTGAGCTCCTAGGTACATGTGGATAAGACTGTGGCCCAGTCTGTCACCAGAACTTAGGATGCATAGAAATGCTATAATAATAATAATAATAATAATAATAATAATAATAATAATAATAATAATATCTGAATTAACTTTATTGTTGGCAATTCTGGTGCCTGTTCTGCAGAGTGATGAGTAATCATATATGTCTTGAGTCTCCTTCCTTGATATAAAATGATAGGAGCAGCAGAGAATTGTATTGTCTGGTAAACATGGCTATTGCAGGAGGGAAGAAGAAGAACGTAGGCAACGTGAAGAAGAAGAGCGAGAGCGTTTGCAAAGGGAGGAAGAGAAACGTAGGCGAGAGGAGGAAGAGAGGCTGAGACGGGAGGAAGAAGAGAGGCGGCGGATAGAAGAAGAGAGATTCCGAATGGAGCAGCAGAAGTAAGGAATCAACTGTATATTATTGTTTTCATCATATTTGTATAGGATCGTCCTCAAAACAACTTTTGTATATTGGGTTATCCCTGTTATTCTCTGTGAGACAGGTTAGGCCATGCCAGAGCAAAGCATAATTTGTGCACAGTGAACTCGGCAGCAGAATACTTTATTTATTTTCAAGTGTTTTCCTTGTTCTTCAGGTTTCTATCCTCACAAAGAGGCATACAAAAGGAGTGAGATGAGGTATCATAGAAACAGTATACAGTGGTACCTCAGCTCACGAACGCCTCAGTTCACAACCAAATTGGGTTGCAAACAAAAATTTAATAAAAATTTTGATTCAGGTCATGAACTCCGCATTGGGTGGTGACTGCGATCACGGCCATCTCCCCACCCCCCGAGTGGGGAGATGGCTGTGATCGTGCTGGGAGTGTGGGGAGACAGCCGAGATCGCGGTTGCACTCGTGCAGGAAAGCCGGGCACCATCACGGGTGTGCTCATGCAGGAAAGATGGGCGCAATCTTGGCCATCTCCCCCCCTGCCCCCAGCAGGCCGTCTCCCCCCCCAGCACACCTGCATTCCCACCCATCTCTCCCCCCTCCCAGCATGCCTGAGTTCGCGCCCGTCTTTCCCCCCACAGTGTGCCAGGGTGACAGGTGCTTGCAGGGACGATGGGCATGATCCCGGTTGTACTGGGGGGTGGGTGGGGAGATGACTGCGCTTCTGCTCGGGGTGGGGCAGGGGAGGTGGCTGCAATTTTGTTGTTCTTTGTCACTTTGCTTCACATTTTTCTGATTAAAAAAATAGTTACAGAACGGATTAACCTTATTTACACTGAACCTTATGGGGACATTTTACTTGACTCATGACCAGTTTGGGTCACGACCAGAGTCTTGGAACAGATTAAGTTTGTGAGCCAAGGTACCACTCTATATAAAATAGAATATCACAGAAACAGTATATATACACAACAGAGTATTTAAAGAAGCTGCTCTGGGCAAGCAGACCTTTGTGATTCCGAGAAGGGTTTTAGGGCTTGTCTGAATGCAAGTATTGGGACTAGGCATACATCTATTTGAAGGATGCTCCATCATGTTGGGACTGGCACTGAGAATGCTCTGTCTCTTGTGCATAAGCAAACCATTCTTAACAGCAGACACATGAGAAGGTCTCCTGAGGAAGATCTTAATGAATGGGCAAAACTGCATGAGTGGAGCTGGTCCTTCAGATACTTACACAGGTTATCGATTTCAAAGTACTGTAAAGCTTGAGACCAAAGCTTTGAATTGGGCCTGGAAAACTACTGGTAGCCAATGCAACTGGTGCATTCTGCCCTTGAACAACCCTGCTTGCATTTTGCATCAGCTGTAGCTTTTGAACAGTCTTCACCGGCAGCTTCCTATAAAGCGCATTGCAATAGTTGTTTGGGAGATAAGCACAGGGAACCAAGGTCAGGTTTGAGTGTGTATCACCCCAAGCCCTGGCTGTGGATGAGGCAGTTCTTTTGATTCCCAGGAAGTGATATGCCACCTCCAGGTTTGCCAACTAAGGGCTGCGTGTTGTGCAGTGACACCGCCCAGCAGTCCTGTTAGCAAAATACTGATCCAATTTAATGTCTTGGTGATGCTTAAAACAGGTTTACGTTCTGCAATGATCAAAACGGGTTTATGTTCTGCAACAACACAACAGACTTGGCCAAACAGCCTTACATCCTGTAATGATCAAAACAGCTTATTGTTCTGCAACACGCCAAACACTAACTAGATTTAAAAGGTTTTAGCAAGGAAACACAGTGTGGATAGCATGCAATCAGCTGGAATGGATGGACAGCAGGGGTTACTTTGAAAAGTCCAGACAACAGCACAGAGAAAATGACAAAGTTATATAGGTTACCTAATTCAAAGCACAGTGCATGCACACAGCATTCTACATTACATTATAATCATAACATAGGAGTATACTGACCAGTTATGCAGGTGCTAATAATAATGCATAATGAACTAATAATAATGAGTGTCTCTGTCTGGCCTGCCAAGGTCTCTTTCCTGCCTAAAGGTGCCAGAGTGATAGCACATTCCTCCAAGCAGAGGCTCGTGACCACCACGGGCACGAAGGCACCGTTGTACTAGGCTGATAAGGAGCATGGCCAAAGGAGAGAGCACAGCAGACGCGGCAGCAGTGCGTGTGTGATTACTCCTTCGATCCATCTCTCTTGGGAACTTCTCCTGTCAGAAAGAGTGGCAGAGGTGGCCAAACAGATAATAACCAAAGCTCTATTGTTTTACTAGCATAAAGAAGGTATCTAAGGGTCACTTATGCCAAGAAAGCCCTACCTTTTAAACATCAGAGACCCGGGCCTAGATTTTCAGGTTCGGGTATGCCATGGAGTGCTAGATAGAACCATGTGCTCAGCCTTTAAAAAGTGCTACTACAAACATGAACCTACGTTGCCTATGCCAAGTTCCACTGATTGTGCACTATACTGCACTGACTGTCTTGCCTTTTACCTTTTAAATAAAACTACCAGCTGTATTGATCAAAACTTTCCTGCCTGATACCAGCCAACTCTCCTTCTTATATCATAAAAAGTGCATATTTTATTATGCATGTCAGTTTTCAGATAAAAATGTTGAATTCCGTTTGTGCCCTGCTTTGCAAGTAGCAGTGAACTGGTGGGTTCCTGCAACAACACGTTGCAATGTGGTGAGTTTGTTGAGGATTTTGGTCACTCCATTGTATTCCCTCTTGCCCCCTATCCTTGCCACAGAGCATGCTCAGTCCTCATTGGACCATTATGGCAGGTTCTCCCTTCATTTAACTGTGATGAGAGGGTGTCCCAGCTACGTTAAAAATGTGAATTTCTCAGTTGTGAACATCTTCTGTCCTTAGAGACAATAAAAACAGCTTTTCAGTGTGAACCAGAAGTAACTTGCCCACTCTGTGGTTCATATACACATATATGTATATATTCATGTATATGTGTATAGGTATGTGCGTGATCTAGTGATTTCTTAGCAAACAAAAATTATATTGGATCATTCTGATTTCTACCTTGGTCTTTCAGTCACTGCACCTGACAAAGTTAACATTCCATTTGCCTTTTCATGTGAGTTGGACTCTTATGTTTCAGAAATAAATCCTAATTATTCTACTTTTATTGTTGCAGTCAGGTTGTTGTTAATAAGAACAATATTCAGTTTGCTGTGTTTGAAGCCTACTTAAAAGGTGACTCCTGGATGCCTGCATTGTTGCTTATTATGGAAGTGTGTTCTTCATCCAGGCAACAGATAATGGCAGCATTGAACTCCCAGACTGCTGTTCAGTTCCAGCAGTATGCAGCTCAGCAGTACCCTGGCAACTATGAGCAGCAGCAGATCCTAATTCGTCAGCTCCAGGAGCAGCACTATCAACAGTACATGCAACAACTTTATCAGGTCCAGCTTGCACAACAACAGGTACAGTACATCGTGTTGACACTGCAGTTTTCAAGTTAATAGATGTTGGTCTCTCTTCTTAAACCTTAGTGAAACATCTGCCATTAATGAAGATAATAACAATTCTAATACCATATCAAGTTCATATGCTAAAATATCTGACAAACTATCCCTGTATTGCTCTGCCCTCTCCAGTGAAGATTAAGAATACATTGCATGTGAAAATATAAGCATTGAGCCATCTGTGCTGACTTTGCTAAACACTGTCTTTTTTAGACTCTTGCAATACAGGAAAAAATAAGCTGTTATGATCCATTCCCCACATTTAAAATAGTTGCAAGGCGAAGTTTGCTCTTTTTTGATCCAGTTTTAAGGTAGAATTTAGTATTTGATAGAGCTACCAAGAGCCAATGTGCTGTACTGATTATGGGGTCATAGTAGGACTAGAAGACCCAGATTCAAATTCTTACTTGGCTGAAGCTTGCTTGATGACCTCAGGTTAATCACTATTCCTGAACCTAGCCTAATCTACCCCATCTGGCTGTGAAGATAAAATGGGGGAGGCAGCCAAGAGATTTATATAAGGTGTCCTGAGCTCTTGTTTGCAGAAGGGCAGGACAAATGTAATTCAATTAATAGCTCACAACAGTTTTCATACCCCTTTCCATTATATTGTAAAATTACATGTTGACTTCTAGCATTTACTTATTAGAATTTTAATGCTAATAAGTAATAAAGGGATGTTCAGTGAGCTTCCCTTTATTACTTATTAGCTGAGGTGGATCTTGCTGTTTCTGAGGTAAGGGAAGCTGTAGGATGAATTGTGAGGTTACATTGACTTCATTAGGAAATGCATTTGCCAAATAATGGATTGAACAGTAACTTGATGTGTCCAGCTCAGGAGTAACGCAGGGAGATAAAAACTTAGTATAAAGGATATCCAGCCACTGGAGAGATTTCTTTAAAATTAAGCATCTTGATTCAGGGTTCAAATGCATAGCATGCCAGACCACCTCTGCATATGCAACTATCTGCAGCAGTATGCAGGATAACTGCAAGTATTCTGTCCCTTAAAGTTTACTGACTGGACCTTAAACCTCTACATTTAATTCTGTTAAAGCATAGTAATAGATTTGTCATTATTTGCCTTTCATAGCGTGCAGTGATTCTTGTAAGATACATTTCACGTCTTTCACTGCACTTAGGTTGTTGTGTTGTGTTTTTTGTTTTTAATTTGTAGGCAGCTTTACAAAAACAGCAAGAAGCAGCAGCCACAGCAGGAGCTTCAGTTACTTCTGTATCGAAAGCAAACCCAGCTGCCACAGGAGAAATCCCATCTGTCAATGGGCAAGCTAGCACACATACAGACAGCTCTGAAAAAGATCTGGAAACTGATGCTATAGAAGAAGCACTAGAGAATGGACCAAAAGGTGAGAGTAAAGATTCTTGAGCTTTAAAGAGAAATCACAAAATCTTGGTATAGAAACATTTTGTGCTTCCCATGGCCTCCCCCTGCCACATTTTCATTCTTCTGTTGTGGGTGACAACTCATTGTCCTTTGGCTAATTTGAGTGTACAAAAATATGCCCTTTGATCTGGGGATTATTGCTTAGCTGCTGTTTAACTGCAAGGGGCTAAATGCTCTTGGCTACAATAGAAATCTGTTATGGGCAAAACAAATTGGGAGAACTGGAAGGAGGAGGAAGGTGGTACATTCACCTGTTGCTTCCAGGTAAGGTAGTATCTGGTATATAGTTTCATCCATGCTCTTAAACCAGCCTTCAATTGATTTAAAGCTGGAAAAGGTATGAGGTGCTGGCAGGATGAGGATGGTTCCCCTTTGAGTCCCTGAACGATTGCAAGTTTTATCTTTGGGAGGGAGGCCACTATTTTGTGTAATAATTTTCTAGTCTGTTGGCTCACCATCCCAGGACATAGGAAACTACTTGGTACTGAGTCATACCATTGCTCCATGAAGCCCAGAATTGTTGAGTCTGACACGGCACTGGCTCCCCAGGCTTATAATAACAAATCTTGCCACCCTTTCCTGGAGATTCCAGAGACCGAACCAGGGATCTTTTGCTTCCGAAGCATGGCTCTCCCATCGAGACACAGCCCTTCTCAGCTGTACTCGTGTTTCATGCTGTAAGTGGCTCATCTCTTACACTTTTGTCCCCTCCACTTTTCTAGAATCTGTTCCAGTCATAGCAGCACCATCCATGTGGACACGACCCCAGATTGCAGACTTCAAAGAGAAGATCCGCCAGGATGCAGATTCTGTGATCACAGTGGGCAGAGGAGAAGTTGTGACAGTCCGTGTCCCAACGCACGAAGAGGGCTCTTATCTCTTCTGGGAGTTTGCTACAGACAATTATGACATTGGTTTTGGGGTATATTTTGAATGGACAGACTCCCCTAACACAGCAGTCAGCGTACATATTAGTGAATCCAGTGAGGATGAGGATGAGGATGAAGGTACTTTATTTTATATACTTAGCAGAGGATTGAACATTCAAGAAGTTGTCCTAGCACTTATTTAATGTACATGATATGGCATGCAGAGAGTGAAATATGATGGTTGCTGAACTTGGAATTTGGAAACCTGGTTTTCTGGGGCGGGAAGAAACTCTAGAATGTTTGGGCTAGTCATTTGTGGGCAGACAGTTACCAAGTGGGAATCATGTAGCACAAGCAGGAATTGAAATTAGAAGTCCCTTTCTATGGTCATTGCTATTAGAGGCCTTCTGTAGGTTTGGTTCTGACATACTCTCTCAACTTGGCCAGGAATTCAAAAATCAGCATAGAATTCTAATTAGTGTGAAAATCAACCTGGTGTTCTTTATCATCTCTGGCAGGCATCATTGAAAATCAGCCGAATGCTGTTCACGTCTGCACCTCTTGCAGACTTAGAGCTTGGAGACCTGATCAATTAGAGCAGGGGTCCTCAAACTTTTTCACCAGGGGGCCACCTGAAAGCTGCCAGTGCTGGGTGCAGGCTGGAAAGGTGGAGCCGGCGTGCGCATGGGCCGGGGAGGGGTGGGGGCAACATGTGCATGCAGGTGCATGCGCTGAGGCGGGGGAGGGGCGTGTGGCAAGGTGAGGGGCGGGTGGGTGTGCACGGCGAGGGGAGGGGAGGTGCAGGTGGAGGGCGGGCGCACGAGGCAGCGGCTTGCTCGCTTGGAGATCGCTTTCTCTGAGTGAGCAAACCACTGCCTTCCCATGCGTGGGGCGAGGTGGGGGGCCGGGTGCGCGCGTGGCGGGTCCAAATGGGCATGGTGGGCCGGATCCGCCATGCCCATTTATCCGGCCTGTGCCGTCTCCCGCTGCCCACGTGCGCGCACTTGCCGCGCGGGCGGGGAGGCAGTGGCTTGCTCATTCGGAGATGGTTTTGGACTCGTTGTGTGCACTTCCGGTGCTGCCTAACCGGCCTGTGCGCCCGGGCACCCCCACTTCACCAGCCCGCGCCGGTCGCCGCCGCCTTTCAACTGGCCCCCTATTGAAAAAGTTTGAGGACCCCTGAAATAGAGGCTAAATATCAGGGCAGTATCCAGTGGTGTGATTCCACAGGCTCAAATAGTAATAGCAGAGTTTTGCCAATTCTTTCAGTTGTGCAAGCAGAGCCTGCACTGACAGAACATCTGGCCCATTCTTCTGAAAGCAGTGGCACAAGTGAAACTTGGTTGGGTTCTTTCCTTGTGCTTAGTTCAGAAATCTAGTTTCTGGTAGTACAGCATCATTGGCATTAATAAAATGGCAGTGTTCTGGTTCACATAGCACAACAGCTCACTGTGGCTTAATTTATCCATGCTGTGCATCCACAAGCACCATCTTTGCATGGCACTCATGAATACGTACCGTGCTCTGACTTGCCACTGTGCAAAATGAGGCAGCAGGGATTGTTTGTGCCTCGGCAACCCTCACATGCCCATTCAAGTGTTAGGGTCACTTGAATTTGTCTAACCCTCAAGTAACCCCTACTGACTGGGTTCCACACCATGCCAAGGCACAACAAACCTAGTGCCCATGGCTGCCATGCTAAATTGCACAGGTGCTTAGCAGGTGCTTAACACAGTGTGACACACACCCCTCACTGCTAATGACGATGCCATGGTGTGCTGTTGAGATAGGTGAACAAGTCCTCTGTTGTATATACTTGCCTTGTATTGTCTGTCTAAATTTATTTCTAGACTGCTTTTGCCATGTATCCCTAGCATCTAGAACTCAGTGTATGAGTCTTTCTGTGCTGTCTCTACATCTTTTTCCAAGTCTCCCTTCCAGATGTTCCTGTCTTGCAGCTTCCTAGTAACTCTTTTTCTTACCCTTGTTAATGGTGTCACTTCCCAGATCCTCTTTTTATAAGATTTGAGTTAACCTAAGGACCTGTGTGTCATGTCTTCCACATAACTAAGGAAGACCTAAGTATTCGGGAACCATTACCCAAATATTTGCCTCTAACTGTGTGGTGATGCATTTTATTGTCTTTACACAATGCCCCATTCTAAAATCTCAAGCTAGGAAAAATGGGTCTGTGTACTGTGTAGAACAGGGGTCCTCAAACTTTTTCACCAGGGGGCCAGTTGAAAGGTGCCAGTGCTGGGCGTGGGCTGGAAAGGTGGTGCCGGTGGTGCACACAGGCCGGGCTGGGGGTGGCACATGCGGGCGCGCACGCTGAGGCAGGGGTGGGGTGCGCGTGCTGAGGCAGGAGCGGGCATGCGCCGCAAGGTAGGCGCACGAGGCAGCAGCTGGCTCGCTTGGAGATCATTTTCTACTGTCTCCCCACGTGCGGGACAAGGTGGGTGGCGGCGCTGGGTGCACACGGCGGGTCCAAATGGGCATGGTGGGCCGGATCTGGCCCCCGAGCCATAGTTTGAGGACCCATGGTGTAGAACATTCTGTACAAGTGTAACCTTTGCTAGCAGCTTCATGCTAAGGATTGATCAGTGTAAACCATGGACTGTCAACTTACTCCCCAGTTTAATCTTGAATGTTGTCACTCCAGCCGGTCTTTGAGTGTTACCTAATTGCAGGTAACCTGTGATACTTTCAGCAAATTAAATTCAGTGTTAAATGGTCATTTTGTGGGGTTGAGGGGTAGAAGTTGTATGAATACATTGCTGACACAGTCAGACCAATCCAGTCTAGGTCACTGAGGTGCCCTGGTCTTGTTGCATCAGTTGGTCTTAACACTGGTCAGTGACAAAATCACTGACAGGGCGCTGAGAAATCACTTAAGCAGCTTTTAAAAAATCAAAACCTTCATGTGCTACCATCATGTGTTCTTGGTCCAAATCCTCTTGGTGAACATTTGGTAGTCATTATTTTTGTAAAAATTTGGCACAGATGAGATCATATAGTTTTGCTTTGGTTACATTTAAATAATTGCCCAGGTGTTGGTGCATTTTTAGAAGGGCTAATCTACACTGACTACAAAGAAATGGGATGTGGGGCTTGTTTAACATCAAGGCAGCTTGTATTTACTGACGCACGTTTTCTTTCCTCTCTTTCTCAGAAAATGCTAGCAATGAAGAGAAAGCCAAAAAGAATGCCAACAAGCCTCAACTAGATGAAATAGTGCCTGTGTACAGACGAGACTGTCATGAAGAAGTATATGCTGGCAGCCATCAGTACCCAGGGAGAGGGGTCTATCTCCTTAAATTTGATAATTCCTACTCGTTATGGAGGTCAAAAACAGTTTACTACAGAGTCTATTATACTAGATAGAGATCTCGTTGTGCTGGAGGCTGGGCCGGTGCAGAAGATGTCATGTTGTTTGGAACTTCCATCAAGCATACTGGACCTTTTGACTCTGTTACCCTGTCTGATGTATCTGTATGGTTTTTGTGTGTGTGCGTGTGCGCGTGTTAACTTTTGGCACTGGGATCTGGGCTTTCTTCTGCAGCTCAGTGTTGATGCAGTTTGTGGGGACAACCACTCCCTTCTGGTTGTTTGCCACACTGTGAGACAGTTAAGCAAGTAGCATACACTGCATAAACTGGCCTTTTAAAACCCCTGAAACGCTAACACACATATACAAGGGCATGATGTTTCCTTGGTGGCACTCAGTCTGATGTTGCCTGACCTGTAAGCTTTGAACGTTTAAAGATGATAATTCTGTTAGTCGTTCATTTGAGGGTACCAGCCTTATTTGTGGGGGTGGGGAGTCTGATGCAATCTGCACTGTAGCAAGCAAGTTTCTTAAAACTGTATTTGAATGTCAGAATTTTACACCATTAAACTTGAAACTTAGTGGATGCAGTTTAGAAACTGATTTGTCTCGTCGTCTGTTCTCATTGAAGAAGTCATTTGGAGCCTCCCGGTTGAAATGCCATGCGGCTGGATGAGGCCTGGGAGTGTCTGTGCCTGCCCTGCATGGAGATGTGTAGGCCTATTCAAAGCAAGAAAGTATGTGGGATGATATAGATATATATTTATATGCACATCAGATAAATTTCCTGCTTTATTTTCAACATTAGACCATTTTAATATTGGACTTCAAGGAGATAGCAAAAGATCTCTATCTTTCCCCTCTGTCTGCTGCTAATCCCAAGACCCAAGTTTTATACAGGATTCAGACTTCAGAATGGAGACATAGGTAACTTGCCATTTGGATAAAAAACTCCAGAATTGTGTGTGTTTGTTTTTTTATAAACCACATTAAAATAAGTGGGAACTGCCCTTCTGTAGTTCTTGCTTCTTGAATTGGCAGGGGCGTGCATGAGACATTCCTCTTGGTGTGCTTCTCTTCTGAAACTTGCTGGATAGGATTCCAATTCAAATGCATTGTCTGCCCAACTTTTATAGTTCATTTGGGGACCTTTTTTCTTTTACAAACCTGAGCTTGCATTTTGTGCATTTGCATAATGAAAGAATGTCATGTTGTAGGAATTAATATTGCACTGATGTTGTGGCAATTGTTGCCAGGAACATTGTAGTTTTTTTATCCAGATTGCATTTGTAGACTCATTCTTTCTTTCAGAAACACAAGAACTGTTCTAATCTGCATATCAGGTTTAGAGAAAAACTGAAAAATTGTGTATTTGCTCTTCAGTGACTAAGGAAGGTGTGTCTCTTTGTTCAATTTATTTGCAGCAGCAGTAAAACAACTTTATATGGAATCATGTTTTCAAGAAGCAAGATGGGGTTGGCATTTTTAAAAAATGACTTGAGTAAAGTCTGTTATGCTTGAGGAATGCAGTCTCCCCTGTCCCACATGAATGATTTGTTCTACTGCAAATGGATCTGTTGGAATTCTAGGGTTTTTCTGTTCAAGTAGCTGTACATACATTATACATACTTTTTTTTTCTTCTCACATCGTAAAAGGATCTCTTAAAAGGATGTGATTTCTCTACCTTGTTTGATATAGCAGTGCATTATGAGCTACTGTCTAGTTAGCGGTGCTCCACTCAAATCTGCTCTAACATGTTCTGTTCTCATGTGTACCTAATACTATATAAACTCATGGAGTTAGAAATCGCTTGCTTTTTAAAAAGCTGTATTTTAAATTTTAAAATGAAATTAGAGGCAGGCACTAATTCTGTTGAGTATCATAGATTTCGTTTTGTCCGTATCACATGATTTAGCAGGAAAAAATGTGTTGGAGAGCAATATATGTTTGTTGTAAACAACAGCACATTTTTGCTGTCATGCTTTGGATCTCCAATCTCCAAAAATTGCCTCTGACTGTTGATGAGTAGAGAAAAGTATGCTTTCAAAATACCTTGGAATAATATATTTAATCTGAATTAAAAATGCTTATATGGAACCTCTTGGCTTTTTCTTAAGTACCGCTGTTATTTCTGTGGTTGAGGAAGAAAAAGATGTATTAAATTTGCAAAGACTTTTTCAATGAAGCAAATTTTTTACCCCCTACTTCCAAGTCAGAGGCGATGTGAAATACTGTTGGTTCATCAGCATAACATCCATTTCACCCATTTCTCTATTCAGGAGTTTGCATAGATTTCTGTGTCTTGTGTAAATTATGCAACATGGGTTTAGTTTGCATGATTTAACTAAAGGTTTGAATAATTTTCTGCTTACAGAATTCAGATTCCTTTGTGGAATGTGGAGGGTTTTTGCAGAAATTACTAACATTGAGGTGGAGGTTCAGGAATGGCACTCTAGTAAAGGAAGTACAGGAGAGGAAGAGGGTAACTGGGTACAAGGATTGGTATCATGGGAAAACAGAAAGGAACGAGGGTGGAGAGAATTGCTTGTGATGCATCTCCATCTGTCTCTTCTGAGCTACCATGAAGAAAGGTGAGCTTGCACAAATATAGGAGTTTAAAGTCAACATAAAATTCTTCAATCACTTGGATCCATTAAGAAAAGCACCCAAAGTTGAAACCTGTTTCACATGCTCCTGCATGCATTGCCAAATAGAAACTGGAAGCTACCATTCGATTTATTTAGGGCACAATCCCATGCATGTTAAAGATTCTGCAACTTCCGGCATCCCCTAGCCAATATTGTCTGGGGAATGCTGAGGGTTGCAAAACCTTTTTCCATCTAAGCATGCATAGGATTGTGCCTTTAGAGAGCTCATGTTGCATAATGTGAGATTGGAGCCTTCCATTTATCCTTGAGAGTCCCAGTAGGTCCTCTTGACTCTGTCCTCTCCTCCCCATTATCTGCTCATGGGAATGTTCCCTTTCTGATCTCTGAGATCATTTAAGGTCATTATTGTCAGGGCTGTGAAGGCTTGGTGGAGGAATGATTCTGTTTCTTGATTTTCTTCCTGGCCTTGGGATTAGGAATCCAAAATACCTTATGCTCCCTAGGATGCTGTCCAGGAACCATAGAACTGATCTGTATCTATTTTTATAATATATGGACTGGCCTTTATCCGCAAGGAATCCCCAGGTGGTCCGCATAACATTTAAAAGAACAAACTTCCCAAATATTAAAACTATCCAACCAGCAAACAAATCAACCAATTAATACATACACCTCAATGTCAACATAAATGCAGTCCACCCCTGTGCAGGGTATCAGCCTACCAGCCTCTCTAGAAGTTGAGCAATTGCTTTCAGACTATGATGCTAATACAATCCAGACCAGAAAGGCTTCCAAGTTAAGGAACCTAAACTGAAAATAACTTAGATTATTTGGGCAATAGTCAATGGAAGACAAGACCAAAAATTAGAATCTCCAGCAAATTTGATTTAGAGAAATAAGTTTAGCCACATGAAGTGAGTTCCAACTTTCATTCCGCTGACAGAAGCAGTTCCATCAGCAAATCTGGGAAGGCATCAATTCCCTCTCCCTGTGTGCCTGGTGACTCTCCAAACCACATTTTACAGCAGTGGAGGCAAGAGAGAAACTCCACAGGAAAAGGCTTCCATTAATATGATGTTGGATTTAACACACGGCAATCAAAACTTGAGCAAGTTCAGTAATATTTTTAAATCTTCATGTCACCCACTAGTCTGCCTCTGTTTGGTACAGTTCTTGATGGGGACTCGAGATACGCATACTGGATGTTGCCTTATAGTGAGAGATCAACATTATCCCAGCTTTTCTTAATGTGGTGCCGTCCAAATGTTTTGGACTGCATATTCTATCATTTTATTTATTTATTAAAACGTTTTTATCATTTTCAGCATCACCATTATCCAGCACATTGGGAGGACCCCAGGGGCAGGGGGGACAGCTGCTGTATTCTGGTTGCTAGTTATTTTCCAACAAAAGTTGTTTGCAACTCTTAACCTGGTTTCATTCCCTTCAAAAGATGCTGCCAGCACTAAGCTATTGAACATGCCTTGCAGTCATTTTGGGCATGCCCTTACAGAGTTTATTCTTTGTGGCTGTTCCTTTTGAGTGCCTGGTTTTGGGGCAGCTAGTTGGTCCTGCTGCTGACTTGGCACTCAACCTCTGCTGAACAGTGCTGAATGTTACTATCCAAAACATATGCTTATGTATGCCGACTTTTTGCAGAGCAAGGGACTGGGGTATTCAACCTTCTACATATGCCGTTCCCTTGCATCCTAGGTGCAGCCACATTGATGGGGGTTGCACCTGCACAAGCGACAGCCTCTGGAAAGCTTGAAATTCTCTAGGAGATGAGATTTCTCCTAGTTAGCACTTGTAACAGATCCTACACCAGTTGAGCGGGTGGCAAAGGGCCATCACTTGTCATACCATATCACCCATTTCTGTTTTTGCAGACACAGCTAACCAACACAAGGAAAGCAAAATGTTACAACTTGTTCTTCCATCCTTTGACCTGTTGAGCCTGGTTACAATCTCAATTAATGCCAGTTGTAAAAGGACTTGAAGGGATGGCCTAGCTAGGAACATAACAACAGAAGCTGACTTCTACTGAATCGGACTATGGGTCCATCTAGCCCAGTACTGTCAACACAGACTGGCAGCTCCTTTCCAGAGGTTTCATGCAGACATTTTCCATCCCTACCTGGGACCTCCTGCATGAGAAGCAAGTATTTTATGAGCCGTGTTCCCTCCACTAATTCACTGTGGTTCTGACTTTAAAAGATGCCAGAATTGTAATGGCCATGATTCAATCACTTGCGATAAATACTTGGCACACCCAGGGCAAACTGGTCTGCCTTGCTACTTCTTCACATAAATGCAATGAGGTCAAGAGAGCACAGAGCACCAAAAGAGATTCAGGGCATGCTTAAGTGAAGAGCGTGCAAGGAAAAATTCCATGCAAAACCTATCCTAGTGTATATAGGCAAACACGGTGACATAACAGAATGGCCACAGATTTCCGAACCATTTAAATTCCTCTTTCGCTGACCAGCCTTCAGGGCCTGGTGTGGATGGAAATTGGAGGCTTGCTTTTTTTCTGTCCCAATTTTTTCTGTGTCTCTACTAGGATTCCAGCCTTCTAAGCCAGGAAAAGGCAGCAGGGGTGCTCTGGGCCGAAATGCAGCCCCAGACACTTTCCTTGTTGCCCACCGAAGTATCCCACTCTTTCCACTTTTTAAAAACTGACACATCTCCTTACCAGCAGCTGAAATGCACTTTTGTTAGTGCTGGAAACTGTAGGATCAAATGAATTGTTTTGTTTGTTGGATCTGAGCCCCCCCCCCCCCGCCTTATGCTCAGTTTTTTGGGTGTTACTTTTCATTTGCTATGCCTCCTTTTGTGGTGGTGCCCACGACAATGTCTCAAGTTGCCAAATATACCTATGCCCCAGATGTTGCCATTAACATGCATACATAATAAAATGCCAAAGCCGGAAAGAGGACAGAGCCTGAGATCTCTGAACAGCAGCAGTAAATTATGAGATTATGTACCACTTCCAGAAAAGTCTGGTTTTAACTTGATTGCAACAATGAGTTAAAGCTGACACTGGATGCCTGCCCTTCAGAGGACAAAGAGTTCCAAGAAGTTGGTACAGAGAAGGTATACATGCCCCATTCCCTCAAGAGCGAAATGTCACTGTTGGATCTCAGAGAACTGGGAGCCATGGATAGAAAGATGCACTCTTTGCATGTGCCACAACCTATTCTGTGTTTTATAGCCCCTGCACTTGGAACTGTCAGCAGAACTAAGAGGCAGCTGAGATGGAATAGGGAATTGATTCATGGCAGGCCCTTGTGGAGCTGGGGGCCTACCATATTGTAAGATGTTTCCAAGGCAAACTCATCTGGCAACAGCAACAGCAAGCGGTGGCTGAAGTGCAGCTGACTCGGAGGCTGGCAGCGATGTTTCTGTCTGAAATGGCCCTCTCAAAGCTGGGGTCCATGTGAGGGAGATTTTCCATGCCTGTCACTATTTCAGGTTCACAGTAAGTGCTCACAGTGAGAAATGGAGTTCCTGAACATCAGGGGGAGTGCAGCCTGCAGATGTTGTTGGATTCCAACTCCCATCATCTCGAGCTGGGGATGATGCAAATTTGGCTTCAGCAGTATCTGTAGGACCACAGGTTCCTTGCCTTGGTTTACACCACATGCAAAGGAAATTTAATTTTCCTGGGAACGTATTTGAACTGCTGACCTGAAGACTTGACAGGGAGAATCTGGTTAGCCTTTCATGTCAATTGCTTTTTATACTTGTTCTTCTGGCATCCTCAGCCCAACTAACTAAACACTCTGAAGACTAAAATGTATTCACTCCATTCAGCTTTGCAGGGATTAAAGTTACATAATAATATAAAACCAGCAAACTTTCCCATATTATCTCCGAGCAGAAATAAGCCATGCAAGGACAATTGGTAGTAAAGGGAACAGTTCAACAACAACTGGTCAAGCATGCTTGTCATTTTCTATTTGACTGATTGTTCGGCATTGCAATCCTTTTTCATTGCCCCATCCATATGGTTAGCTTATGGAAGTCTGCTGCTGGTCAATTCACTTAGCCTGTTGGTGACAAGCTGAATAAAAAATTGACAGCTCTTTCAAACAGCTTCTGAATTCTTGATAGTGTATAGTCAAAGTCTCTCCCTCTCCCTCTCTCCCTTTTCCTCTCCCTCTCCCCTCTTTCTTTCTCTGTTCACTATCATCAATATTTTTCCTTGTACTCTTCAACAGTTGACATCTTCCTCATTCATCTAATATTCAGATACTGATAATAGGAACATAGAAACAGAGTGAGTCAGAAGCGGTCTCCCAGGCCATCTAGTCTGACCTCTGGCTCCAGCCGGCTCCACTCATGACTTGCCTACCATGTGCATGTCCAGCCTATCCTTGAGCACCCTCACTGTTGGGGCTTCAACCACCTCCCGTGGAAGCCCATTCCATGTCCTAGGGGTCCTACCTGTCAGGAGGTATTCCAGGCATCCAAATTGAACCTCGG